TTAATGCTTCGGGGCGGTGTTAAAAATTGCATTTTTAACACGTTTGTAGAAAAAATATAATTCACATCTCCCCCTTAACAAATTTAAAAAATACATGGAATAAATCTACAAATTTAGTCTAAGGGCGGGTTTGATTATTCTTCCAGACTTTGTCAGTCTTTGTTCGGAGTAACTTTGGGAAGTCTTTCCTATCTGTTCGATCGGTGGTTCTGTTAGAGTTTCTGGTTGACCATTTGAAGTTTCTTCGACTAGTGATTGATTATGCTCCTGATTTTCTGGACTGGTAGGAGCTACAACTATTTCGTTATTATTTATGTTATCAGCTTTTATTTTATGAACTTGACTACTATTTCTTCGTTTTTCTTTGCCGTCCGATGTTCGTAAGAATACTGACCATTTTGTTTGATCATCAACTTTTGTTATGGTTGCACCTTTCCATTATCTGTTGGTAAGTTGTACTCTAACAGAATTTCCAATTTTATAGTTCTGGGGTTGAGTGGCATATGTATGTCTGTATAATCTTTTTCTTTTTCTCTCAATCTTTTCAATTCATTTGTGACATCTTTTACAATATTTGGTTTCAACTTTTCACTGTTTGCTGGAAGTAATGTCCTGGTAATTCTGCTGAATAGTCTTTGATTTGGTGAACCCAGTGACGGGTTTCTAGGCGTATTTCTGTAGTTGAGTAAAGCAATCTGTCTATCTGATTTGTCTTCTGTACATTTTTTCAACAGATTTTTCGCAATTTGAACACCTCTTTCCGATAAACCATTACTTCTTGGATGATATGGACTACTGGTTGCATGCTGAAAACACCATTTTTTGGAAAAATCTTTTAATTCTGTAAAATTATATTGCGGTCCATTATCAGTTTCTAGTTTTTCAGGAATTCCATGGACTGCAAACCATTCTTTGAGATAGCCGATTACTTCCAAGGATGTCTGATTTCTGAGTTTTTTCACGTCCAAAAACCCAGAGCAACTGTCGTAAATAGTAATACATATAAACATTTCCATGCACATACTTAACAAATCAGAGCCGACTATTTGCCATGGTAATTCTGGTAGTGGCTTCAGTAAAATTGTTTCCTTTTGATTGGCTTTTTGATATTTTTCACAAACTCTGCATTTTTGAACATAACTAAGAATATCTTGTGATATTCCTCTCCACTAAAGTAGTTCTCTTGCTCATTCAAGACATTTTTGAATACCAAAATGGCCATCATGGATATTTCTTAACATTTTAGGTACCTGAGATCTTGGAGCGATTATTTTTTTCGCCCTTGAATATGAGTTCGTTGTAAATTGCAAGCTCGTAACAAATACGTAGTGCTTAATATTTTTGGGTACATCGTCTGAATTTAGAAATCCGTTTAATATGAACTTTCGTAGTAATTGCGGTTCAGGATCCAATTTTGTAGCTTCTATTAATTCGTCCTTGGCATTCTCGGTCATAGAAAGGACAATTTGTATTTCTTCCTCGTTTTCTAGATTTTCTCCAGTTTCTTCACAATCCCTACTAGTATCTGCTAAAGGTATATCTTTACCTTTTTTGTAGATATATTATTTTGGGCGAATACTGTGATACTTCCAATAATATTCGTTCTAGCCTAGGTGGCGCAAAGTGGATGGTTTTTTTTTTTTAAATAGCTTCTAATGGCTTATGGTCTGTTTCTACTGTGAGTTTCTTGCCATATATGTATTGCTAAAATTTTTCACATCCAAATTTCATTGCATACGCTTTTTTCTCAATTTGAGGTCAATTTTTCTGTGACGGTGTTAATGATCTAGTAGTATATGCAATGGGTTGATTTTCTTGCATCAAGGCAGCTCCTTAATTTTTCGAACTAGCATCTACTTATAATGTAACATCCTTGTTTACATCATAAAATTTCATAACAGGTGCACTAGTAGCTTTATTTTTTTGAAAGCTTGGTGTTGTTCTATGTCCCAAATAAATTAAACATCCCTTTCTAGAAGCTTTCGCAAAGGATCTATAAGCTCAGACATACAGGGTGTCCCAGGGAAAACAGACCACCCCGATTTATTGGATTTGGGATGAGAATCTAGAAAAACGCTCGGACTCGTCGATTTTTAATTTGAGGGGGAACTATTCTTCAGATTTTTCATCCCCGTAGTTTCAACCCCCTAGCTAGGGGGAGAACAACCCCCCAAATTTGAATAGTGGATAGGGGTCATGTCATATCTCTTTTTAACGGTCTCATCGAGTTCTTTATGTCCCTAGAAATTCGTCTCATTATTTTCATCCGTAACGAAATGACAGCTTGTCAAAATCTTGGAATTAGATTATAAGTTTTAGTGGGAGCAAAAGCGATACTTACCTCCCTTAATAAAAATACTTGAAATAAAGTTTTTTCTTATTATTATTAATGAGGTGTACACGAGAATTGTAAATTGTAGGTATTTTTACTCGTATTTTTATTAAGATAGGCAAGTATCGCTTTTACTCCTACTAAAACATAGTCCATTTTCAAGATTTTGATAAGCTGTCATTTCGTTGCGGATGAAAATAATGAGATGAAATTCTAGGACCATAAAGAACTTGATGAGACCTTTAAAGAGAGGTATGACACGACCCCTATCCCCTATTCAAATTTGGGGGGTTGTTCTCCCTCTAGCTAGGGGGTTGAAGCTACGGGGATGAAAAAAACTGAAAAATAGTTCCCTTTCAAATCAAACATCGACGTGTCCGAGTGTTTTCCCAGATTCTCATCCCAAACCCAATAAATCGGGGTGGACTGTTTTCCCTGGTATTTGGTATGAATTGATTCAAATATGTTATCATGCGTAGCAACCTTTGTAGTTCTGTTATATTTGTTGGTGTCTTTAAGATTTTGATAGCTTCCACCTTGGTATCATCAATTTCAATACCATTTTCCGATAAAATATGCCCAAGAAACTTAACTCTTTTACCATTGAAAATTCATTTTTCCTTATTGAGTTTCAATCCAGAATTTTCCAATGTTTCCATTACTTTTCTAGTACCTAATTTTTTCTACACTTTCCTCGGAGTTGGAATAAATAAGAATATCGTCCATTGAGCAGTGAGTGTTTGGAATGTGTTTTAACAAAGAACTCATTATTTTTTGAAATACCTCTGGTGCTGAACAGATTCCAAATGGTAGACGAGTGCAACTGTAACGCCCCCATGGTGTGGAAAACGTGATATATTTTTGAGACTGCTCTGCAACTTTTATTTGCCAAAACCCACGTTAGCAATCAAAAAGTGTAAAATGTTCGGCTCCACGTATTTGTGCTGAAATTTCTTCCATGGTGTTTTCTAGATAATGTATTTTAAAAATGATTTTGTTAACATCTGTAGGATCTATGCTGATTCTTAATTTACCTTTCTGCCTAACAGGGAGGGTTCAGCCGAGACTCTCCAGTAGTTTGTTATTTCAGAACTAGTAATAATAAGTAAGTAAGAATTCAAAAAGGTACTCACCACTGGTGTTGATGTTTGAGCTCCCCCAGAATATTTACAAATACCTTATAACATCACTTATGCAAAATATCAAAATTTTATTGCGGACAGAATAATGAAATATTTTCTAATATAAAAGAGGAAGAAAATAAATAATTAAAAAAATTTGAAACTTTTTATTGGTAATAATATACCTCATCCGCTTACGCGGATTAAGTTTTAATTAGTTTCTTGTATACGCTATTAAAAAATAGCAAGTGGATTAGGTTTAATTAAACATTTTTCATATTGCAAAAGAAATTGAATTTTAGGGTATTCATCCATATTAAAGAAAATGAAACATTCCTCCCTCATAATTGCCCATTAGGCTAAATGAAATCTTGGAGGAAAATATAAAATGTGCCTCCTAATCTTACCTTTTCAAATGTATTTTATTGTTGCCTGTTTTAACTATAGCCTCGATGTCCATTTTGTGCTTCCCCATCATTGAAATTAGTAATCAATTATGACCACATCAATTACTAGAGTTTAGTTCAGTGTGTGTGTACATTATAGGTGTGCTTCTAGAAAGTAGTTAAACAGCCAATAATTAGTTAGAAATTATGTGTCGTTTTGGTAGAATTTATAGTCTTATCGTTCTGATGTAATGAAATGGTTGATTATATAAAATAAAAGTGATTTTGGTTTTCTTTCTTAATAAATAAATTCTTAATAAAGAAAATTGATAAGTTTGTAATAATGATCATTTTTTTCCTATCAATTTTTTTCTGTTTTAGGCTCTTGAATTCTCGTTTTCTTCTTCACTTCCTGAATGAGAAAATACAAGAAATTGATTTTTGTCTACTTACCAAATTTTCTACTGACTCCATTTCTCAATTTTTGTCTGTTCCAGGCTATTAAATTTTTGTCACTTTCGAACTTTTCTCGAGTCTGGAATAAAGAAATTAGGAAAATCAAGAACCTGTAATGGAAAAATAACATATTTTTGGGAAATTCCGATATTATCGGTACGGGGTCAACGGATATCGTGAAAATATGAGGCCACATGTGTCAGCTCGTGTCTTCCATAAATAATGTTTTTTTTTTATAGATGAATTTATCACTTTGCCCCCTCAATTTAATTAATTTAGCCTTGCTTTTAATATTTTTCAGGAACTCCGCCATGTCATAAGACTGACAATTTTTTAATTATTTATACGACATCCAGAAAAAAAATTCAGGGTACCTACTTATATTTTCTGTGCTGTAAAGAGAAGTCGCACGTCTTTGCTACGCCCTTTTCAGTTGCGGGGTAGATAATTGATTTCTCTATACAAGTTTAAATATTTACATCGTGTTAATTTAATTCAGGCATTTTCTACCCATCCCTTTATTGGCTTTTTTAATTCGTTTCATAGTAGAATCTCATCATACAATAGTGCACTGCAGTGTCAATGTTCATAACGTGTCTTTGATAGTAAACAAACGTCAGCATTTAGAGTTAGATGTGGTTGTAAAAGTGATTTCTAATTTCCATTTTGCAGACGTCAGACCTCTTCAATAATTTACCTTTTCAGACGAGCTTGTATCCGAAGGGGCGGTAATTGCGACCACAGACCCAACGATTGTTGTTACAACAGCTCGTGCAGGTGCAACTTGTGGGGCTCGAATTGTCGATGCCAAAGAATGGGCCTTTTCCAGAAATGGGGCTAAACTACCATAACTAAAATAGTTGCACTTATGACGGCCTAATAGCTCAAATTTTTTAACGCACATTTTTCTTGAGTAACTATTTCCCACATACAATGTTTAAACGATATTTTTGTTGCTATTAGGTTGTTTGGATCTAAACCTTTAAATCGGACCAAAAATTTTAATCGTTCGTCTAGAAATAATTATTTTTTTATATTTATTTATTTTCAAAGACTGACTTTTGTAGGATCCTTGAAAAAAAAAAACACAGACATTCTAGACTTTCGATTGAATTAATTTTTGGTCCAGACCTTTTGCTATGAATCTAGGCTGACGAGTTAAACAAACAGTATTTTATTTAAATTTGTTATCATATAATAAACTTATTGTGTCAAATATTGAAACGTTTTTTAGTTGTTTTTAAAAGCTATTGTCTGGAAAATGAAACCTCAGAAGTCATCACAGAAAAAATGGCAGAAAAAAACTGTATTTCACGTATAATATGAGCTAGCTGCCTATCTACTAAAAGTTAATCCAGCCACACTCTTAGTAGATCAAGGCATGTCTAACTTAAATATTGTAATTTTTTATAGTATCATAACTTAGCTATAATACTATAAAAACCCCATTAAATATAAAATAAAATATAAATGTGTATAGCCTGTAGGATTATTATTATGGCACTAAACTGAGCCTCAACTTTGTCAGTAGAAAATTTATCCTTAAATAAGTTTGAGACTTAAATTATTTATATATGTGAGAAGGGTACAACGTTCAGGATTCTGTCAATACATAAATATATCAATTGGCCTAAATGTTTTTGTTTTATTTCTAATGATTTCCCTGCAAATTGGATTTTTCCCTTTACAGATAACTTTTATGACTTTTGAAGCTTGACTTATGATTGAGTCTGCAGAAAATTGGATTGTGACATTTTAGGTATTGAAAGTTTAAAGTTCAGCTTACTTAGTTTTTAATGATTTATTCAAGATGAAAACTCGACAATAAAATTTTATTGTCACAAGGGTTTGTAAGCAAAATTGGTTGAATTTACTTCGGGAGCAAGTCAAAAGTTGGAAACGGGACATAAAAATAAACAAGAAAAGGGCTGTGAGGAGCTTGAGAGTAAGTACCTATAGTTTATTTGTATTGATTTAATTTGGATTCTAGGACTAAGCAGGAAAATAGTCGGTTTTGACTCAAGTTCAAGAGCCGGTAATAATCAAAATTTGAACTATTACCGGCTCTTGAACACCTTGTAACTTTTACCTTTTCTGAAATAGCGATAGTAGGCCAGGAAAGATTTGGGAATTATTTTATTTTTTTGACTGAATAGTAAAGCGAATTTACTACAAACTATGCAGCAACTACTTAATAATAATTGGCCGAATTTTTGATATAAGTTTTTTTTAAAAACATTTACCCCTTTTAGATATGTATAACGGGTGTAGAAATTTATGCAATCCCCTTTCATATCATCTGAAGGGCTAATGCTAGGCTGTTGAAATTTTCAGGGATTAGTGATGTAGGAATGATATTTGAAGATTCATATAATGCACCTCCATTTTTTACCTGGAACCACCCCAAAAAAAATATAATTTGAAAAAAAAAGTCATTTTCTCGCACACAATATGTGGTATGAATAAAAACGAAGTACCTACTACTATGTACTACAAGTATTAGTATATTCTACGTAGTATTTACTTCAAAAAAAAAGGATTTACTAATTTTCGGTAGTTTCGAAATGTAGTATCTACTTCGTTTTGGAGTAAATACTACGGAGAATCTACTAATACTTGTAGTAGTAGCAGATACTTCGTTTTTATTCATACCACCCAATGTCCTTCATGCCCCCCCTGAAATTTCAAATTTAAAAACCAGAGAATGATAAAGCAACCAGATTAAGATTTCGTATTTATCAAGTTTAGAGGTCATAGTCATAAATTGAAATTACCTAATATCTACTAGTTATTTTATTCGATTTTAACATTTTCAAGATGTACCGGGTGATGTTCTATATTTTGCACTCACACCTATCTCACCTGTTCGAAGAGATACCAAGAAATGTGAAAGTTGTAGGTAATATCAGAAAGTTTTCAATAAAGTTAGTTACAAGTATACAAGGTGTGTCACAAAAGTGTAGCCAAGCAAAGTTAAACTTTTTCAAATGGAACACCCCGTATATTATTAACTTATTGGATTAGCCTTTTAAACCTGATCCCAAATATACTAGGTTTTTTAGGTTTATTCCTAATAGTCAGGGAGAAAATAAGAAAGAGACCACCAGCAAAATACATACAGGGTGGGCCAGCGAAAACGAAACAAGGTCGATATCTCGTATTCATCGTTCATTGAAAAAAATCGCCCGGACCCGTCGATTTTTATTCGGAGGGGGAAATCTTTTGCACATATTTTCAATGTTGTTACTTCAACCCTCTCGCGAGGGTAAGCGCCAACCCCTAAATCTTAAATGGCAGTAGGGGTCGAGCGATACCTCATTTCAAAGGTCATCGAATTCTCTTTTCAACGGTGCCTAGTTTTTTGAATTTACTAAGTTTTTTTTTTCAAAAAATATTTAAAATTATAATGTATTTAGTTAAATTTTAGTGAGTGATAAAAAAAACCTAGACTTAAACCTTGTGATTTCAAGTTGGATAGCACACGACTTTGGAAAAAAACACATAAAATCACTTCGTAAGTAAAAATTGTTATAACTACAAAATTGAAAGTGCTCAAAATGACTAAAACAGTACTGGTTCCGTCTATTTTTAAATGCGTTTTTTCCAAAAACGACTGCATCAAATTCAAAAAAAATAGGCACCGTTGAAAAGAGAATTTGATGACCTTTGAAATGAGGTATCGCTGGACCCCTACTGCCATTTAAGATTTAGGGGTTGGCGCTTACCCCCGCGAGAGGGTTGAAGTGACAACATTGAAAATATGTGCAAAAGATTTCCCCCTCCGAATAAAAATCGACAGGTCCGAGCGATTTTTTTCATTGAAATCCAAGGGGCAGTGAATGACGTTGAATGTAAACAAACACCAGCTGGTAATCTAGCTTTCCTATTGGTTGATACGCCTATACAAGGACCCGTGCGCATGTGCGGAGGACAGGAGCTGGAGAACTGGGATGACTGGGGAAAAAAAATCTGCTCGTTGCATTTCATAACGTTTGTTTGTTTGCGAACGAAATAATGGCATTGCCTTAGTTCAGTCCTGCCTATACCTTATCTGAAGATGACTATTTCTTCACGTTACTGCCGCTTGGATTGGAAAATAGTATAGATGGGCCCCCTGAAATATAATATATTTCTGGCTACGCCACCGGATATACCAAATTAAAGTTTATAAACTTTCCTACAAGTACGTATAATAACTCTAAAGTCTCAGCAATCTATAACGTCGTAAGATCGTATTGAAAAAAATGGCGTTTCTTGACTTTCCTCCGTTATTCTAACTAAGGTTTTGATAAGAGGAAAAATTATTTGTAACAAATTGGTATTTACACAAAAATAAACAAAAACACCGTTCATGTTCATTATGGACAAAGTTGGTTAATACCTACATAAGGCTCAGGATTGCGTTCGTAGATGTTCAGTTTAGATAGACTAGGTTGTATGTGCGGAGCGACGTTTTCTTTCTAGCCCTGTCTGGGCAGTGGACTGCTCTAATTCTTGAAGGATGAGCGCTGGTCCCTCTACTGGAAAATAGTAGTTTTCCTAATCAATGCGCAAATTATGTTCTCCCATGCGAAAGCAGTTGGAGATAAGCTTTTTATCGATAGACCTCGCGTTCTTCTATCGGCACACCAACTTAGAGCCCGATTGGAATTTCGACCCGACGTTCCGGAATTTTAGAAAAAAACTTCCCTCGAACTGTTGGGGGCAAAGGAGTCCCACCCCCTAGTTTCTTCCTTGAGGGTGAATGGGGTTTTCATTTGAATGTCGCGAAAGATATCACGTTTTTTATGCTTTTCACCCCTTTAAAATGTTTAAGAAAAATATTGTACCTCCCGCCAATCGCGAGATCTTCTTTCTCTCTATTCCCCTACAAAATTTCAACTTTCCACTTCCAATTGTTTGGGCTGTGGAACGGTCGAAAGTCAAAACTTTGACAGCTCCCCCAGGCCGCCTCGTGGGAAGGGGGGAGACGAAAATTGTTTTCGCTCAACACAATTAAGAGGTTTGGCACCCCCGAAAATTTCAAACCTCTAGCTAGTCGGCAAGTACAAAAAAAAAATACTAATGTGTACGGGGAAAAAATTTCCAGCACAGCGTGCGAGAAAGTGCTATTTTGCGTATGCAAAGTCTGCGCAAAGTAGTAGGTCAATCGTAGAAAAAAATATTTTATGATATTTTGATCTGTGAAGGCATAGGTAGTCCCAATTTACAAGGATAAATACTATAGATTAGGATGAGAATTTCATACATCTATCAAAACTGACATTCCAACAATAAACTGACATGTTTTGATTGTTGATTTGAACCAATCAGATTGGAATTACGCGATAATTTGCACTAGTGCAAATTATCGGATAATTGCATAGTAACTGGTGCGAGAACTGGTGTTTTGACATTTTTTGACAAAAAATTTAAATGTTTGATTCATGAAATTCTCTCATAAAATACAACTCGTGCAATGGAAATATATCTATAATTTTCGACAAATTTGCACTCAGGCGTTTTTAACTGAAAAAGGCACTCGTGCACTACGTGCACTCGTGCTCTTTTTCAACTAAAAATGCATTCGGGCAAATTTCCCAAAAATTATCGATAATTTCCATTGCACTTGTGATATTACTATTGATAATTACTTGTAATTGTATAAATAACCTTCGATCTTTTCAGACGAAACATCTTGATCGTCATCACTGAGCAGTATTTCTATATAGGAGCACCTTTTCTCATAAGCCTATGCAGGTATTGACAAATTTTGTCCATAATGAACATGAACGATATTTATTCTAATATGGTTATGCAAAGTCTTCATTCTCATTGTTTCAGGTGATACTTCTGCAGATGTGGACGCGAGGAATGAATAATGAATATGAAAATCATTAAAAATTTTAATTTTTTGTATGCAAATGCTAATTTGTTTCAAATATGTTTCCTTTTATCAAAACCTTGGTTGGAAGGAATAAAGTTTTCAAATTTTTTAAAGAAAACTCAAGGAATGCCATTTTTTCAACACGATCTAACGACGTTGTGGATTGTCTAGACTTTAGCGTTGTTATACGCACTTGTAGAAAATTTTGTCTTCTTCAATTTTATTTTCATAGTTATAATTGAAAAACGCCTCGTTTTCGAGTTATAGTTGGAAACCTGAAAAAAGTATTGGAAATTTAAGGTTTTTTGCAATTTTTCGTGTGAAGCCGACGTCTGGCGAATTAGAAAACCTCGGATTCGGATTCAGCACCCCAAAAAACATATAGAATCGGTAAGAAAAAAACTTCTACTTTTTTTTCCTGAAAACGCTGTTTCTGAACCTTGGATAACTGAACTATTAGCCGCAAGCTATCATCAGACTTCTATGGAGGAAAATTCTGTCCAATATACAGCATTTGATACATCTGGAGGCCATGTTGAGTATCTTCGTTGTTCACTTGGATTGTGTAATGCTCCAGCAGTTTTTCAGGAAATGATGAGTGAAATACTTTTGCCAGTTAGGAAATATAATATTATTCCATATTTGGATGATATTTTGATACCATCAGAAACCATTCATGAAGGTTTAATACTGCTGGATAAAGTTCTAGGTACAGAGTATTTGATTATATTTGGACCCATACCTACAGCCTTTACTAATTAAGATTTA